GGCTAATTTTGTATTTTTAGTAGAGATGGGGTTTCACCATATTGGTCAGGCTGGTCTCGAACTTGTGTCCTTGTGATTTGCCCACTTCAGCCTTCTAAAGTTCTGGGATTACAGGTGTGAGCCACCACGCCTGGCCCTTTCCTTCTTTCAAACATTTATTGAGCTCATGAGGAGCCAGGGCCTGCCAGGTGCTGGGCACTTTTACCCCCATTTTACAGATGGGGAAGCTGAGGCACAGAGGAATTAACTCAAGTGAGCAAACTCACACAGCTACATAGTCCACAAAGCTGGGGCTGCAACCTGGGAAGTCTTGCTCCAGGGCCGAAGTGTCCTTGGCTACTAATCTACTATGCTTGGCCTCCCCCAGATGGCGGGCCAAAAGAAATGCTTTAAAAAAAAAAAAAAAAAAAAAAAAAAAACAGCCTGCGCATCACGTGAGCTTAGTGTCAGTAACCTTCAGCACTCCTTGGAGCCAAAGTGTGGCAGATCACTTGAGGCAGGAGTTTGAGACCAAGCCTGGCCAAGTACTGGGAAGAAGAACCCCTCCGTTCCTACTCAAGGCATACAAAATTAGCTCGGGCATATGGTCGGCACCGCACCTATAATCCTACTACTCAGGAGGCTACGCAGAAGTAATCCGTTTCAGACTGGGAGGTGAGAGTTGCAGTAGCCGAGCATCACATGCTGCACTCGCAACCTGGGTGACAGAGTAAAGTAGACTCTGTCTCAAGAATAATAATAATAATAATAATCTTTAATTTTTGTATAGAGACACATGGGTCTCACTGTGTTTGCCCAGGCCGGCTTAACTCCTGGCCTCAAGTGATCTTCCCACCTTGGCTCCCAAATGCGGGATTACGGCATGATCACGCGACACCAGCCAAGGAAATTGGGCTCTAATCATGAAATTATGGTGGATGAGACAGAAGGGGGCCCCTGCCCCTCCCATGCTGGCAGTGGAGGCTATGCAAATGGTGGAGAATGTTCCACGGGGCAAGACCGTTGCCAATGGAGGGACATTGAAAGAACGAAATGAACAGCAAGACACCATGTGAAAAGAATGGGGGAGATGGCTCTAGGCCGCAGGGCGGCAGCTGCAAAGGCCCGGGTAGGGAGGCGCTCTAGGACAAGATTTGTCGGGATGGGCGGGCCGTGTGCTGTAGCCACGAGGACCCAAAGTGGGTGTGGGCGGGTGTGTGAAGGGACTGGACCGTTCCCTCCCACTTTCTTCTCTCCTAAACAGCTGATCCCAGGTGGGCCCAAGGGTTTTCTAGGTGTTTTTTTTTTTTTTGAGATGGAGGTTTTTCTCTTGTTGGCCCAGGCTAGATGGCTGTGGGCAATCTTGGCTCGACTGCCACCTCCAGCCTCCTGGGTTCAGCTGGATGACAGGTCCCCACCACCCGGAGCGCCCAGCTAATTTTGTAATTGTAAGGTACAGAGACGGTGTTTTACCATACCATGGCCAGTGCGCTACGTTCAAAACTCCTGACCCCTCCGGTATTCACGCCTCCTCCTGCCTCTGGGGGTCCCAAACAGTGCTGGGACATGTCGACCACCATGTGCCTTGGGTTTTGGTTTTGATTTGTTTGTTTTGAGCAACGGAGCTACGCCTCATGTCCGCCCAGTGCTGGAGGTGCAGTGGCACCGATCTCACTCACTGCAAACTCTGCCTACCAGGTTGTAAGTATCTCTGCTGCCTGCAGCCTCTTACTCAATAGCTATGGGATTACACATGGCATCTTGCGAACGCCGCAGGTCCGGTGGACTCACCGCTTTTGAGCTTTCTATGACAGTTGTTTATGAACGATAGTTTTGGCCTCGCGTCCACTCAGGCTGGAGTGCAGTGGCTAGCCTCACGTCTCAGGCAACACATGGGCGCCATCACCATCAAACCTGTCCTCTACACTCAAATATTGACACAGCGACTCTACCAGAGGGTGTCGAATGTAGGTGGTTCTGCGTGCCGTATAATCCTGTACGATCACACCTGCGGCAGAGCGAGCGCGTCCGTGGCAGTGCCATTATACATCATGATGATACTCCCAGGCAGAGCCGCATCGCTTACCGTAAGCAGGCGCAGCCACTGGGCGCAATCTTTTCCCATAGCTCATGAGTTTGATACAGGAGCTAATAGAACGACAATGCTGTCCCATGAGCAAGGCCACAAGCGCGAGACTAGATCTATGAGTAACGCTGCCTCTGAGCGCGCATTAGTGGGTCGGATGCCTCCAGTCAATCAGCACCCACTTCTGGCACATCGCTCAGACAGCTAGGAGAATCTAACAGGTGTAAAACCTCCGACAGGGTCAGCATGTGACTTGCTTGATCTTTCTTTCTTTTCTTTCTTTCATTTTTTTTGTATTTAGTAAAGGATGGGGTTTTCACCATGTTGGCGAAGCTGTCTCTCAACTCCTGACCTTCAAGTGATCTGCGCTCGCCTTGCTGGCCTCCCAAAGGCGGGATTACAGGGAGTGAGGCCACACTGCATCCAGCAGCTTGTTAGCTTTTCATCTCTCAGGCCTCAGCTACGGGGGGTCACCTCCTGCTGACAGGCCTTGCCCGACACCTCAAGTTGCCTCACTCTCCCGTGACGTTTTTTCCCTATTGCCAACTATGCGCCCAGAAACACAGTGCATTCTCTGTTTTTGATTTTTTTTTTTTTTTTTCTGTACCTCATATCGAGTAAGCGATGCTTCATAGTCCAAATTAATGAGTTACTGGACTTTAAGTCTCCATGAGTGCCCGCCTATGGTCTGCGTTGGTGGCTGGGTCCCCTAGTGCCTAACGAGTGCTGGCATGCTGTGAGGTGGCCTCGGGAAATCTCCTGCTAATGAAAGAATCAGTAGGCCTGGGCGCAGTGGCCTCATGCCTGTAATACCAGCCTTATTGGGAGGCCGCGGTGGTGATTCACAAGAGTCTACGTGAGTTTGGAGACCAGCCTGGCTAACATGGTGAAACCCATCCCTACTAAAAGATCACAAAAAAATTAACTGGCGGGTGGCACACAGGCGCTGTGAATCCCAAGCTACTCGGGAGGCTGAGAGCAGAAGAATTCGCTTTAACCTAGGGAGGCGGAGGTTGCAGTGTAGCCGAGGATCGTGCCACGCACTCCAGCCTGGAGCAAGCAATGAGCGACCGCCTCCTGTCCAAAAAAAAAAAAAAAAAAAAAAAAGGCGGCGCGTGTCTCAAGCTGTAAAAATCCCAGGCACTTTGGGAGACCCGAGATGGCGGATCAGCGGGCTCAGGACGATCGACGAGACATCCTGGCTAACACGGTGCAAACCCCGTCTTACTTAAAAAAATATCAAAAACATTAGCTGGGCGACGGTGCCGGGCGCCTGTAGTCCCCAGCTACTCGGAGGCTGAGGCAGGAGACATGCGTGCAACCCGGGAGTGGACTGCAGTCGGGAGATCCGGACCACTGCAGCTCCAGCCGAGCACAGAGCGGACGACTTCGTCCAAAAAAAGTAAAAACACAACAAACAAAAAAGGTAGAAGAAGAAAGAAGGAAGAAGAAGACCGAATAGAAGATGACTCCGAACCCCAGGCCTGGTCTTCCGACACACCGTCAGCAGCCACCCGGTGGACAAGAATGGTAACGGGTCTGCCCTTATGGAGACCACCAGATTTCGCCCAGGTGCCACTCCCTGCCTTGCCCCATGTCTGCCCTCTCCCCGCGGC